CCAAGGGTTCAATGGAAAGTAAATGTCCCAAAAAGAACGATGGAATATATGTACGAATATGTGGGATCCAATTGCTGTATGGATTGTAACGAGTTGTAAGAGCCCCCAATAAGATTATTATATTTTTTTTAAAAAAAGATCGGCAGAATTCCGTTCCAAAGGATCCGTGGAAGAAAGACCTGGTGGTCAGCTTTTGTAAAAAATAATTGCCAAGAAAACCTCTCTGCCCTCGCCTCACGCGGCTTGCAATAGGCGCGCTAGGGGGCGCCAGCGGAGACGCCGCCGCGCCCTCCCCAAGTGTCGCCTTTTCCGTGGACTCTCCTCCTCCGGCCTTTGGAACGCGGCCGGGGAGCGCGTCGCGGGTTGCTCGGCGGGCGCCACTTTCTTTCCCTGGGACTCGCGGGGTTCTGGAGGGGACGGGGTGCATTGTCCCTGGAGGGATCTGTTTAAGGCTAGTGATTTTTGTCAGTTCTTACGCTACTGTTTTAGACGGATTCGAGCCAGTGCCGGGTTTAACTTTAAGTAGCACTGCGCATCATGGCTTTTGTAGAAATTCCTCATTCAAATATATTAGATCTTAGTCCTTTTCCTCGCTGCAGGCTGTTTGATTAACCCTTTGTGGGTGTGACGTTTCGCTGTGGAAGCATCCGGAGATCTGTTGGCCGCAGCTCGGCAATGGTTGGAAAGGAGGAGCAGCCCCGCCTGGGAACCTCACTCACTCTTGAGGACTGTTTGCCCAGTGGGATTTTCCTCCCTCGGACGTCCGAGAGGATGCGATTTCTTATTTCTCTGAGGACTGGAGGACCCAGCCCACTCAGAGTCGTTTCGGAGAATAAGCGGGCGCAGTGCGATGTTTTCCCAATCGCATCTAACGGAGCGCCCCGCACGCCGGGCTTGTCCCGTGATTGGCTAGGACGAAGCGAAATTGGAGGGACTGGGTGTTGCAGTGTAATTCTCGACTTTTCAAAAAAAATTATGCGTATGGCCTGAAAACCGCAGAATTAGCCATGAAACAAGAAAAGAAGGTTCTGTTTTTAAGTTGAATTTTTTCCCTCCAAAAAACGAACTTGGCTTACTTCTGAGGTTTATATTAAAAGTAAAAATAAGGGTTAAATCCTCAAAATTAATATTTTTGCTGTTCAAAATTACAAAACCTTATATACATTCCCTTGTTCTTTATCATGAAGAACGAGTGAAGGAATTGGCGTTTTGTTTTTGGTTTTAATTTTCTTTTGACAGAAATCTTTCTTAAGCTACATAAATTTGCTGGACGCAAATTGGAGAATTATTAATTTTGACAGAAATACCAGATGGAAACCTTAGTTTTCTTAATATTAAATGATAAATTATTTCTACGTTTTACATAAAATTTTAATATAAAACATACATGTAATTTAAAATATTTCCATAAATAAGTAGAGACAGGTGCATACGTGTGATTTTATCCCCTTGATGAATTTATTATGAATATAGTATATACAACAGTGTTAAGTCTTACAGCACTGTGGATGTGGTGTGCATTATTTGAAAGTTCATTGAATTTTGGTTAATTTTGGCTGAGGCACCCATCAATATATTTCTATTTCAGAACTTGTCATTTCATTAAATTGCCTCTTGTTGAAAAAGTGGGTGTCATTTTCAAAAGGAAAGCTGTAAATTACATAAACAAATAGAAGTACTCTGAAAAGGGATTTTCTAATTTGATAAAAATTTATGCTCTCGAGTAGTAATTGAAATTTTGGAACTTATATTTTATATCTTTACATTAGAAAAGATATACATAGAAAGTGTTGAACTCGAAAAATATCCTATGACTTTGATAGGGCTGCAAATATTATTTATGCTAATAAATGAAATAACTGAGTTTATAATATTAATTTTGTATTGCCTTTCTAACCAGAATCGCTGTTAGAGAATCCATTGTTGTATTACCTTTTTTCCCAAACTGTTTATTTGGATCCTTTCGTGAAATATTCATAAGTATGCTAATTATTTCTATAAAATATGATTTAGTTAAATTATAGACAGTCTCATTTCTATTTTAAATATAATTATACCTAAAGGTGCCAGAACCTAGTGGGTTCTGTTTTATGCTCTTGTTGTTTTTTGTTGTTGTTCTTTTTGTTTATTTTTCATTTTATTTTTAAATGATTACAAATTACTGAGATCTTTATTTTGATAGGAATCATTAAATTCTATGCTAGTAATATTTCATCAAATTTTTGGCTAATTAGTTTTGGGGGGACTGTTTGCTTTGAAGTGTTGTTTTGTTGAATAATGGAGGGTTTTGTTTAATAAGCTATATTTAATAGAAGCAAAGGATTCCTTTAAGTATTTCAAATAAAGCTGAAAACACATTAGTGCTTAAATGAGATCCACAGCATTCAGAATGTTTCTCATTTATGTGATGCTGGATAATTTGAGTTTTATTTAGATTTGTGGGCATGTAAGTATGAATTTGTCAGATCCACGTTTCTCTGTAGAAATTTATCATTGCCATTTGTTTTTATTGTACGGAGTGGGAAAATCCTACTACTTCTGGAAAATAATATTAAGGGATGTTATAGCTACCAGGGGCTCAACTTTTGAAAGTTGTGTCTACATGCTGTGGGGAGTAGGGAGCAGAAGGTATCGACTTGGTAGCATTTGCCCTTCCCGTTATGTTCTTTTGCTTTTAATTTAAAAGCATATATTACAAGACTTTGTGATGCTGTTAACTATTGTTAATTACAGGATTTAGCCTCGGGTTTTGTATGGACTGCATTTTTTTCTAATATTTTAATGTTTACCAAGAATTTATATTTGAATCCCTGTTTCACCATGTTATATATATATTTAATATGGAGACATATATCAAGGAATTTCAAAAAGCTCATGGCAAATGGAATTAAAAGATAATGTCTGAACCTTGTCATAATTTTTGAAGCCTCCACATGTTTACATTGTAGCTTTTCAGGTGGTCACAGAAATTGGTCAGAATTATACTTTTCAGCTGATTTGGTTTTAAAATGGAAGAAAGTGTTTAGAAATTTATTTAGAGATAGTTGTCCATGATGCATAAATGGTCTAGAATTTAAAAACCAGCTATCATATAAGTTTACATACTGTTTTTAAAATTCTATAAAGATTTGTTTCCCAATTTAAGCAATTACTGGTCTGATACTGTTACTTGGCCGCCTCCCACCCCCACCCCACCCCACCCCCGCCTTTTGTTTAATGAAGCTTAATAACCTTGGTTTCTTTTTAAATCCTCCCCCCCTTTTTTTATTTATTTATTTTTTATTTTTTCCCTCCCCCCCTTTTTAAGGGCAAAAAACAGATTTTGGTATGATAAACAAAACTAGTAAATATTTTCATATTGTGTTAGAGTTGCAGATAAAGTCTGCAAAATTAGATTATCAGAGTATGTGAGTGTAGTAGTATATGTGTAGTTTTGTACTTTTTTAAAATTCAGGGTACGTAGAATGTTGTGTGTTAGACAAATATTTTCAAATAATTAGGATTCAAAGTTTGACTTGATAAAAATTTATGGGCCCAATAATCAACATATAACCCCCTCCCAGGGGGAAAGGCAAGCAGAAAAGTGGGTGAAGGGAGACAGCATTTGCTGTAAGACATGAAAAAATAGTAATTTCTAAATTATCAAGGGTTCATGAAGCATAGGTGGGGGGGATGAGCTGATAACCAAGGGCTCAAGTAGAAAGAAAATATTTTGAAAATGATGATGCCAACATATGTATAAAGCTGCTTGACACAAATGAATGGATGTATGGATTGTGATAAAATTATTTTTTTTTTTAATTATGGGTCCTAGCCTCAGAAAGCCAAAGAAAATTAAATGAAAATCAGTAATTACAACTTTATTTCAAATAAGTTGTGTAACTGATATTAAAGCATATTTGAACTTAATTTTGAGAAGTGATGCTATTAAAACTTTAATGATAGCACATCAATTTTAGAATATATTAACTAACATGTTTATATATTTGAATAATTGGAAGTACAAATAGCTGCAGATGATAAAGTATTTGCTTTCTGGTAGGGAAATGAATTTTTGCATTTTTTCCCCTCCACTTTTCTTTGAAATGTTTTTTAAAACTTTCACTTTTTAAAGAAAAATTCCAAATATTGAAAATATTTTTATATATAAGGAGCCTTCCAAAATTTTATGGAAAAAATTGAATTAAGAGAAATTGTAATTTTCCATGAATTTTTAAAGTGTGATACTAAATTTCCATTTTATTTTTAATATCAAAAGATGAGTAGCTTCTTGTTTTTTATTAACCCTGTCATATTAATATTTGCACAGACTTCTAAATATATTTTCCTACATTTGGAAGAGAATATTTGGTTTGTACTATTTTTGAACTTTAAACTTAAAGTTTTGAAGTGATCAAATGTGGAAAACTGCAGCTTTTTGGAAGACATTAAAAGTAATTTTAATTTTTTAAGTGTTGCATCTGAATTGGTGTTTATTAGTTATGTATGAGTATGTGAGTTTTATCACTGAACAATCAATTATTTGTCGACAGAGGAGTAAAAACTTTTTTCATTCATTTTTTTCCTAAAGCTTTCTCTTCAGTAAATATAGAAAACTCATCATTCCCATTATAAATTTTTAGTAATTTTATGTCTTTAATGATTGCCACTAAATTATTAAAATTCAGGAAAGTAATTGAAAAAGCACTTAGTTGGAGGTTTCAAATAGTTCATGGAAAAAATTTCATTCACTTTAATATCATGCATGATTCCCTGAACTTTTTTGAAATCCCTCATACACATTTGGCCACAACCTTTACTTGGAAACATTCAGAAAACAATTTTGCTAGTAGTAATCCATTTAGTATATATAAAACTTTAAATTTCATAAAATATATGTTCTAAATTTTGGTCACTTAGAACTGTTAATGTCTTAAGATACTTGGAAATGTTAATATTGCCTATTTAGGCATAGCAGAAGATTAAAATTGCTACTAGCACTTTCTGTTATCATTAAACAGTTTAATTAGTTGGAAGGATAAAGTAGTTAACATTTGCCCCCCCCCCCTCTTTTGAGTAATTTCTTAAACATGCATTTTATGAATTCAGAAATCACAGACAAAACATTACTGATGTTTTCTTTTGAGTCCTTCTACTGGTCTCTCACTCAGTCATGCACACTGCTTTGAAAATGAATGCCCTAAAGAGAAATGAAAGCAGAAGCATATTAATCTAATTTGTTTAAAAAGGCTGCAATGATACAAAAGTATATCATAGGTATTTCTAATCAAGTTATTTCTATTTTAGAAACATTTTCAACTCAGGACTTTTCTGAAATAAGCAAGATTAGGGTCATTTCAAGGCCTGCCCTCTGTTCAGTTAGCAACTGTGGAACTGCAGGAGGCGGAAATCTGTTGACTGTCTTCATGCTGTAATACATGGCATTTTTATTGCAGGTTTTGACCTTTAGAAGAGAGCCAATTCTGGAGAACAACCTAACTTCTTTGACTTGAATACTCAATCAATTGGAACATGATAGAAGATTAAGGTATGTTATTCATTTGATTCATAAAAGCATATAATTTTGTATGTTTACCAGTAGACAACTGGTAAAATTAAAACTTAGACAAACTAAATCCCATTTGTAAAAAATTTTTAAATGTAAATCTTGTGATGTTCCAAGGGCTGAGTTGTCAGCTGCCTTGCTTATTAAAATCCACATACACTTTTATACAGGTAATGTTTCCATTGTCTTGTAGTAGATTCATCTCCCAACTGGATTTATGTATCCCCAAACTGTAAACATGTAATGATTTTTCTTAAGCTTATTATCACAGTGTTATATGTAAAAGAATTAAATAGTGTATGTTCCAGCTTATAAAGTGGAAGGTTTAAATCAAATGTAATTTGGTGCTTGGCTAATTGACAGGTACAGTCATAGGTAGAGCGTGTAAAAATTCGATTAATCAGAGTGTTTTAAGAGAAGTTAAAATATTCCAAATACTTTTAAGTACTAAGTAAGAATGTCAATTTGGTTCAAACTGAAAAACTTCCTTTCTTAAAACCAAGTTTACTCATAGAAACTCTATATTTAAATTGTTCATATCAAAGGTTGTAAACTTTTAAAAAACATATAGAATGCCTAAACTTCCAGTGACCTTTATTGTCTTACTTTTAAATTTTTCAGAGCAACATTTTATGGATGCTTACTTTCATTTTTATTATTTTAGTTGGGAATTTCAGCTGATAAGATTTTTGTTTATTAAATTTTAATATGGTATCTTGAAAATGAACATACTGGATGGACAGTTTTGTTTAATTTTTGCATAATAAAGTATTAAGTACATATTTAAGCCATTTGCTAAAGTGAAATTTGCTAAAATTCAACACTAATTTTCCTAACGTCATTTATTTAAGATATAAGCAATCACAAAGGTTTATTTTCATAAAAGTAGTATAATTTAATCTTACCAATGAAATGTAATTATCATCAGTAACAGAAATCTTATACTTTTAAATTTAAATAGTAAAAATTTTTAGAAGCAATTTTTCAAGTATTTGCTTAATGTTCAAATGCTGAGATAATATTAGCCTCCACAAGTTTAATTTGAGAATTTAGTATGAAAAAGAAGCCTGGTTGACAGGGTGATAATAGAATTTTTCCTCTGACTTAATATTGTTTTCTAGTTTAGAGAATATTAAGAAGAATCATGAAAATGAAATTATCTGATTGCAGAAAATATCCAGGTTCAACTTTAGTCACCACCTTAATGAATTAAATGAGGAAAGAGCATTTAAATTTATATTAAAAAGCATAATGTAGAGAATTTATGAGTTGTGGTCATTGAAGGTTTTAAAACATATTGGTTGTACGTAAATATTTGGCATCGTATAATTCCCGTCTATAATTGTGTAGTGACTCATAAACTTCTTTAAGATGTGATTAGTAAGCAATTGAATAACAAAGAGAATAAACATTTGTATTTGGTCATTTTATACAGAATGCGAAACCTCGTCAGTAATATGTGTTATTTGGGATACAAGTTAATAAGGGTTTTTACTGTTACATGTGATTGCCTATCTTCTAATTACCCTTTAAAAATGGCATATTTAAGGATTTTTGTGTCATTTAAATTTACAAATCTGATAATATATAAATAACTAAACCTTGACAATCTAGTTCACAATGCTAGAATTTGGGAGAAAATAACATGTTAATTTCCACCTTTTTCTAATAGATTCATAACTCATTTATGCAGTATATATTTTTTTATTAAATGTATTTCCAGTTTTAAAAATTGTTCATTTTCAGAAAAAATTCTTACTCGCTTTAAATTACATTCATATTAAAAGTATATATGTTTCATTGAAATAGTTACCTTTAGAGGGAGAAAGTTTTATTTTTATCAAAATAAAAGAATATTTGGATAAACTAGTGAAACCTAACAATTATGAGGCTGCACAGGACTAAGCAGTGTTTCATTCTGTTGTATGTAGGCTCAATATGAGTCCAGCTGACTCAATAGTAAGAACAGCAGACCAGGTAATTTAACAGAAGTTAGTAGGGACATAAAATTATTCATTATTTATCAGGGATTTTTAACGCTAGCTTATAAGATCAACTTATATCTTAAGCAATTTTCCAGCCATGACCATTTTTTGTAATAAAAGTTTTATAGTATATTAAAGATTTGTTAAATCAACTTTCAATAACTTTTTAAAAATGTCTTAATGAAGCAATTTTGTATCATGTATGCTTTTCCTTGGAATAGCAAATACATTCGTAATATTTCTAGTGTTTTTATTTAAAAGTTGATGTTACAGAATTTTATTTATTGTAAACATTTTCAAAAGGTAGTAAACTATAATAAGATTTTAATGAAAATTAATTCGTTGTTATATTGAAGTACAGTTGCTGTTCTCAACACCATGAACCACATTTTTGCTATTTCACTAACATATTATTTTATATTCCTGTTTTTATGTCTAGAGGGTTAATTGTAGGGGAATTATGTAGCATGTTTCAAATGTGGTTGTTAAGCTTGATTAATCCACTGGACAATAATTTAATAATCCATTACTTTGCTGTTAATCTTTTATTGTATTAGACTTGTACTTAATGAACACATTAAAAATTGTTAGCCGCTGGGCTTCAGGATATGTTTTTATTAGCATTATTTGTTTCTCATTGAGCTATTAAAACAAAAATTACTGTTTCAATCTGGAGCAAAATAAAAGATTATGCCCTTTTTTTCGATCTATGATCTGAATTTAAAACATTAGTGCTGTTTCACATTTTCAATCTCGAACTTTGACTAGCCAATTATAATATTATTGAATTATTACTAGTTTCCAAATTTTTAAAAATTTAAACAATACCTTTAGAATCAAATTGCTTAATGTATTGAAGGATAAGTGTTATATTTAAACTTAAAATTTTAGATCTGTATAAATAGCATCAAACATTTGAAGTAAATTTAATATGTATTTCTATATCTTTCAATATTAATTCTTACTAAGCTTTTAGTACTGTGGTACATGACTAAAGTAGGTAAATTGCTACATGGAGATTATTCTAGTATTAGTTGATATTTTTGAAAAAACCTTATAAGCTAATTTCTTAATTTGCTATTAGTGCCTGAAATCAAACATGTGGTAGTCATTAAGTATGTGATACCTGGGAGCATGAAGTTTTTTTTTTAACAGTATAAATTTTTCTTGATTAGAGATTGAACACTTATTTTGTAGGAAAATAGCTAGAGTAGATACTCTATGAATTTACCCTGAAACTAGTCTTTTGAGTATTTTAGTAATTGAATAGTTAAATACAAAGTTAGGAGCTGTAGATGATTTACATGTGTTATGTATCTGATTTAGGTTTCCCTTTTAATCAAGACACCAATTTTATTTTTCTCCCACTCCTAATAAATACATTAAGTTATTTCATATGGTGATAAAAGCAAGACTGGTAGATGGTTTGACCTAAACCATTTTCTTTCATGTGTTATTTGCTTATATTATACTTTTCTCACTTTGCTACTTAAGGAGCAGTAGCAGTGAATAAAAGTCCCTACAGTCCTAGTTCTTGTCAGTTACAGCTGCGAGCAGGGACTAGGAGACCTTTGCAGCTAGTCAGCTGTTGTACAGAATAGCATTTATATACAGTAACAGTGGCCAAAGACCCTGCACCAACTAGCTCTGACAGAACAGGTGGGAATGTTCCAACGGTTTTGTACCCATATACATTCTCTGAAAAAAAGGCATTTTGCTTCTTAAAGTAGCATAAAGAGATAAGTAGATGTTAGTCATTCTTGAACTCATGTTTTCTTATTTCCTTTTGGGTCTTCATTTAATTGCATCTGTTAGAGTGGAAATTTGTCTTCCTTGGGGAGAAAGTTAGTAACTTGCTGATAATCATACATGGAGGTGGGCAGATTGACTGGCTTCACAGGAGAGTATCTTTCACTTTAGTGTATGTTCTGAATCCAATTTCTTAATTTTATAGCCCAATTTAAACAAGACCAAATTCTGATTGATTTGACTACACTGAAAAATATTTCTTATATATAAGTAATAAAAGGCAGATTGCAGACAGGTGTAAATCTCCCTTTTCTTATGATAACATTTAACTTTATATCTGGAAAATTCGTATTATTTTTAAAATAGCACTTGGTAATTTCAAACAATATATAAAGGTGTTTATGATTTTTACAATGTGAATATTCCGAGATCTCTATAACTAAATATTTGTATTTTTCACCCTTCTGTTTGAGATCTAAATTATTCCAATGGAAGTGACTATTGGCTTTGTATTATTAAAGTTCTGATTTCATCTTTTGGAGTTTTGGTAGGAAACTGAAAGTATATTTACTTTTTGTATAAACCCAGAATTGCAATTTAAGACTGACTCTCCAGATAGCATGCTTTCAAAGGTAACCTTAGTTTCTATATTGTGGTTGTCATGAAAATCATCCCCAGTCACATCTACTGTTAAGTTTTTCATTTTCAAATCATAGTAAACTCAAAATATTAGTTCCCTGGTAATATTACAAAAAAATTTCCTAATACTCTATGTTTTAGTTATCTGACATGACAAAATGAATCCACAGCCTGTTCTAGCAATGTAAAGTCAATACATAAAATAATTACCTTTTGTTGCAAATTCTAGGGTTTTTAAAATATGTTGATCTAATTTAACAGATATCATATTATTGTTACCTAATCTTAGCCAAATAATTATATAATCTTTTGAATTAAAAGAATTCGCTGTTGTACTATTGATGAATATATGAAATGTGTGAACCAACCACATGAACCAGAATAACAGAATGCTTATTTTAAAAGCAGTTTTCCAAGCTTACTGAATCAGACTTTGGAGTTGGGGCTAAGAAGCTTGCTTTTCTGTTTTAAGAAGCACCACATTTGAGAAGCACTGCCCAAAATAAATGAGAGGCTTCTTCACCCAATTATCATTACCTTTTCTGTTGCCTCTCCTTCCAAGATCTGATTAGGAATCATCATTTCTACCAGAGTAGATGTATATTATGGGTAAATTTCCACAATTCTGTGAAGAAAATTTCATGTGCTTTGCATATTTGAGAAAATCTAGGTAAGGGAACTGTTCATGTGCTGTGTGTGGGATCATTTTACTATATCCCAAGGGAAGAAGCCCTGGTGGTCAAGTGAGTTAAGAGTTGGGCTTCAAGTTACAAGTCTCAGAAACCCACAGTTCTACCCTGCCCTATAGTTAGGGTCATTACCTGGAGTCAGAATTCAATGGATTCAGTGAGTTGCTTTTTTAGTTTTGAGCAGTGTTGATGATGTGCATAGGCTTGAATATAACAATTGCATTCTTAGATGAAGAATAGTCTTTTTTTTTTTTATTTAATAGGAAAAAAATTTAAAGTGAGATATTAAGCAACAGGAGAATGGCAAATTGTGATGATGAAATATATATGTGATTCAGCCATTAAAATGAGAACTATATTTATCGTGGATGTCTCTTGTAGAAGGTTACATATAGTAATACATTAGATATGATACCATTTATATAAAGTTTAAAAGCAAAACTATTAATAAGTACTAGGATTTGTAGTAATCATATAAAACATGCATAGGAGATAAATATCCAGTTTTTCTATTTTAGAGGGAAATGGGACCAAGGGTATGATGGTACATTAAGACTTTAGTCAAGTGCATGTGATATTTTTCATTGGTGGGGGGGGGGCGGGGAGGCAAGCAAGCCTGGCAGAATAGTAGATTTCAGTAGAGTTATATTGAGTTAGGGTTGGAAAGCAGAAACTTATTTTGGTTTTCTCTTTATTTTTCTGTGGAGTTAAAATGTACTTTTTTAAATAAATGAAAAAATAAAGATGTGCTATTTAAGGTAAACACATGCTCCACTAAAAACAGGCAACTTTTTTTTTTTTTTAGTTTTTCTATTGTGACTCTTAAAGTAAGCACGTAAGCATTATATTCATTACCATTGTGTCAGTTCTGACGCAGAGCTACCCTATAGAACATGGTAGAGTTGCCCCATTAGCTTTCCAAGACTGTTAACTGTTTTGAGTAGAAAGCTTCATCTTACTCCCTTGAGCAGCTGTTACTTTTAAATTGCTAGTCATGACACCTACAATATACTTTGGATTTTCACATAAATTTTGATCAGTCAGACATACACTGACGGGTATGTGAACTGCAACTAACTGTATAGTCGTAGCCCACCGAAATCAAACTCATGCTAACCAGCTTAAATTGCTTCAGTAGCCTTAGTGGTGCAATGAGTTAGGCATTGGGCTGTTAGTCACAAAGTTGGCGGCTTAAATCTACTGGATGCTCTGCATAGGAACAATTATGAGGATGGCACAGGACTGAGCAGTAATCGGTCTGCTTGCACACAACCGACTCAAGGCACCAAAAAAAACCCAACAACAAATGCTCTTACAGAAAAAGCATCTGTCATAAAGATTTACAGTCTTGGAAACTCCTTAAGGAGTGGTTCTACTTTATCCTATAGAGTTACTATGAGTTTGGAATCAATGGCAGTGGGTTTAGTTTGGTTTTTAAGTTGGTTGGATATTTTATTCATTCACTTTTTAAGATGATCTATGTTTCCTGACCTTTAATTCTAGCAACTCTTACAAATTTGGGAGGAAAATGTGGCTGTCTCCTGTAAAGATGTACAGTCTTTGAGACCCTCTATAGCAGCGGTTTTCAACCTGTGGGGGTCGAATGGCCCTTTCACAGGTTCACCTGATTCATAACAGTAGCAAAATTATAGTTATGAAATAGCAATGAAAATAGTTTTATGGTTGGGGGATACCACACCATGAGGAACCTGTGTTAAAGGGTCGTGGCATTAGGAAGGTTGAGAACCACTGCAAGTCCGTAGGGTTGCTATGAGTCAGAATCGATTCAGTGGCAGTGGTTTTGATTTTTGTTGTTTTTAACTGGTAAACAGAAGAAGATCATGGAAACAATTTCCTTTTAAGCATTATTATTTCATTTGCTCTTTAAAATTCAGGTGGTTTGCCAACTATATTTTCTTTTATTGGTCACAGCACCATAGTGAATTCGTTTTAGAAATTTCTATTTTAGCTTAAGATGTATGACATATTCTGATTATTATAATTGAGTAATATATGGATTTTTACGTTTGTAACAATAATTAGATAAATTTGTGTTTGAAGAGAGGTGTGTCACTTGATGTTTGAAGTATGACCTTGAATTTCTCTTAAATAATCTGGAATTGTAAGGTATTTGTTGAAAGGCTTTATTCTGTAAGTAATTGGCTTCAGAGGGTGGCAAAGGGTTTGGGATTGATACCCAAATGTATAGGGTTTCTTTGTGAAGTGATAATTGACTATCTGTGAGTGTTAAATCCACTGAATTATAAAAAGTGCATGTGCAAGCTGCACACAAATGTATGTAAGGCAGGGATCCCAGTCTAATCAAATCATCTCTTGGGTGGAGCCCCCAAATTACTATTTTCTAGAACTCTTCAATATCAATGTGAAACCATGGTTTTGAATGTAATATCAGTAGGTTGGTTCCCATGCCCTCTACCAACCAGGGAGGGAGGATGGGTGATAGGGAAGGAAGAGAAATTGTGAGCACTTGCTGAAGAACATGCTTCACTTCCTTTGCCTTTTTTTTAAAAAGATCATTTTATTGGAGGCTCTTTGTATCAAGCATATTTATACATATATTGCCCTCATTATTTTCTAAACATTTACATTCTATTTGAGGCCTTGGTATCAGCTCCTCTTTTTCCCCCTCTATCCCTCCCTTATACTCTCATGACCCCTTTATAAATTATTTTCATATCTTATGCCAATCACTGATTCCCTTCCCCCATGGTTCCTGTTGTTTGTCCCCCTTGATTGTGGGGGCTGGGGTTATGTGTTGATCATTGCAATCGGTGGGTCCTTTTTTGTTTTTAAATCTTTTGAACACATACTGATACTTATATGCACACATACAAGACTTTTTAGTTCTGTTTTTACAAATACTTTGGGATCATGCTTATAAGTTCAAATCATCACTATAATTGACAGAAAATGACAACCTTTCATGTGTATTTTGCCTTGGTAGGTAGCATAGTGGGTTACACATTGGGCTTCTAGATGCAAGATCGGCAATTCAAAACCACCAGCCTCTCCTCTAGAGAAAGGTGGCACTTTCTACTCCCATAAAGAATTACCATCTCAGAAACCCACAAAGATAGTTAAACCCTCTTCTAAACTAGGGTTGCTATGAGTTAGAATTGACTCGATGGCAGTAAGCTTGGTTTTTGGTGCCTTGCTGCAAGTTGGACTTGTTAGATACACTTTTAACTTAAATTAAAAATAATTAATAGAAAGGTTTGTTAAAATAACGATAATGTTTTTGGACCAAAATATATAAATATTCATGGATATTTATAATCTGATTGGTCTATAGGATCAAAAAACAATGATTGTCAACCACAGTTCAAAATGCTATAACTTACATAATGTCATCAAATTTTAAGACTTCATTCTTATCTGTTTCATAGATTTAATAACAATAAATGAAGACCGCAATAAAAAGGCCCCCCTACGTACCCCAACAAATAATTACTTCGTAAGTATTACTCTTGGTCTCTTCATTATTGCTATAAACATTACTGCAGTTTTGGTGTTATATTTTGGTTTGTTTGTTTGCATGTTTGTTTATCTACTCAGTTACCTACCAACCTACCCATTCCTTTAGAATGACAACTTAGCCTCTGCCATATTCAAGTTTGGTGTTAATTTAATTGCGTTTAGAATAAGAATGATGCTATTTCCTTTCCGTAAGTTTTCTATTTAGGAGATACTTTACAGCCAATTCCTATCATCAACTCTGAGTCACAAATTTAAGCCCTTCAAAGAAATTTAAAAATAAGTAAGGGTAATTAATTATTCAGATTTATTGGTTTATAAGTTAGTATATTTTCAACTTGAAATAGATTTTCAGAGTTTGTACTGTTTCACATTTCATTAGATGATACTTCAGATTCCTTGGTGAAGAGCTTAAATTTAGTTGTTAAACTTTAGGAGCAGAGAAATATTTCTTTCTCGATTCATTTAATTTTAAGAAACTTGGAAATTCTGAGGAAATAATTTTAACTAGGTAACAGAATATACATGAAGAAAAACTCAGATCAAGTTAATGTAAATTTATAAGCTTTGTTATAGACCATGAAGTAAAAAATAAAAATAATGTTTTTACAACTGTCTCTCTTCTTAATAAGGCACACTTACTCTGATCAAGTCGATTCTGACTTGTAGTGACCCTATAGAACAGGGTAGAACTGCCCCTAGGGGTATCTGAGACTAACTCTTTACGGGAGTAGAAAACTTCATCTTTCTCCCAGGGAGCAGTAACCATTATGCCACCAGGTTTCCCAACAGGGCATAAACTGAAAACTAGAAACTATAATTTCTACAGTGACTATAGGTTAGGGTAGAACAGCCCCTGGCTTAAAATTTCTGAGACTGTAAAGCCCCATCTGTATCCCACTGAACTGCCGTTGGTTTTGAACTTTGAGCTGTTAGAGTAACCAGCCTCTGGCAATCGTGGGGGTGGTCTGTAGGTGCAATTGTACAGCGATAATATATAGAGATCATAGTAAAGTCTTAGAAGGTAGGAGAGAAGATAAAGGAGTCAGACACATTTCATGGTAGCATGCTCATCTCAGCCCCTTTTGGTCGTCCTTGTGGAGGTGGGAAACAGGAGGAGAGAGGGCATCTTTACTGTTTGGGGACTTTTACAGGTAGCCATTAGTCATGCATATTCAGGAGTTAGCATACATCACAAGGTGGGTGGTAATCCCAGTAAAGTCCCTAAGCTCACAGGTGAGGAAACCTAATACCTGCATTGGGGGAAGACAGTAAGGAGGGGAGGATGGGTTTCATAGTGGGAGGAGATAATCAGGGAATGTCTGCTTCTGTAGTGAGACAGAATTAACCATGTAGGGGAGGATCGGTGGGGATGATGTTTAAAGCAGGATAATGTGCTTGGACTTATCTCTAATTTAGCTTTCCAGATTCCCTCTGTTATAAGTCAGGGGATATAGTCTTGGTCATATTTCCCTCACTCATAGTTTTCCACAGTCACCTTGCAGGTAGCAACCCAATGCATATCCACTATGCCACCAGGGCTCCTTTAATATGGCCACGCTTAACCGGAAACAAGCACTTCACATGCTTTTCTTTTACTTTATGTCATACTATTGCATTAGTGACTTTAGATTTGTGTAGGAGAATGTTGACCTTATGTAATAAAGGATCTACCATTTACCTCAATATGAAATGGTCGATTTTAAGGGTAAAAATCAGTTAAAAATAAATTGTTTAATAAACTCATTTGAAAAGTATTAGCCATAAACCACAGATCACATCATTCTTATTCTTTTCCCTTTTTAACTTTTGTCTTTGGAAAATTAGAATAGAAACATGAATCCTATGAATCCTATATAATGCCTTGAAAGTCAGCTGGGCCTTTCTTCAATTAAAATTTTTTTTTAATCTTTGGATTAATGTTGTACTCCTACTTTAAACTGTCTACATTAAAAAATTACTAGGTATCACTTAAGTACTAAAATGTTTTCTCCTTAATCATTTTGTAAGCATTATGAACCTATGCCTGGATACTTGAGACGTTTTGAGGCGTAGGTCACATGTCCTATTTCATAATCGTGCTGCTTTTTGCTGTCTGTCCCAGGTGCTGTGCCTAGAATGCCCTTTAGTTCTACATACGAAAATGTTGATGCTTCCCATCAAATTATACCCAGAAAAATAGGTGCATTGTACGGATCCTCATCCATGACTTTGCCATTGTTTAAGATAAGAGCTTTTTGTAAAACCAATTCATTCCTAAGTAGGAAAACGGGAGATGAAGGAGGAAATTTAGTATTTGTGCTACTTGTGCTAAACATGCTGGAGACAAACTGCTTTGTATTTTAGGATATGTGCCTGCTGTCAAGAGCTAGTGTGATTAAAAAGAAGTGATTAAAAACCGTTCGTCACATTGGACTATAGTTAATGATAAATTCTTAAAAATGTTGTCAATTAAAGCCAATAGTACTGACAGTCACACCATTCTAAAAATATTGTCAGTCTTTGAATTACAAATAGAATAGAAATTAGGGCTGACAATACTGAGGAAAAAATCAGAATGTGGGACAAGAAGTCATTGATGGAATTGCAAGTGTAATAAAATTGGTTTCATTGTCATTAAAAATGCTTTTGCATGATTCACTAAACAGAGCTGAGAGTTCTAATACTGTACATCTACTTTTAATAGATATTTACACGTTAGTAAGTTGCTCAGATAATTGTCCACCAGTTGTAGTCATGAGAAAATAGTAATCATTGTGAACAGTTTTTTGGCAGTTAGATTGATGGTCTCTCAAGTTCAAGTCACTCTGACTCGTAGCAACCCTATAGGACAGGACAGAACTACCCATGGGGTTTTCAGATATGGTAACTTTTTATGGGAGTAGAAGATGTGGCTGGTGTTGAACTGCTGACCTTGAGGATAATAGCCCAATGTGTAATCCAATAAGCTCATGGGAGAAGAATGATACTCTTATGAATTTTTCCTTTGTGAATTTAATACCCTGTTCAGAGCATTTGGGAAGTAGTTGGGCACCATCTCGTTGTAATCTTAAATGCAAGCCCCTTGTAAATGAACATGTACAAATATATGTTTGTACTTTTAGCAAATATATGTACCTTTTAGTAAATCTGTCTACGTACAGAAATGAGTGTTACAGTGTCCAAATCTCTCCATTTTCCCACTGTTTTCTGACTCCTGTTTGACCTTCCTCCCGTAACTCAACAGAGCTAACTACCCCTACATGCCCAGTAGCCCAGAAACAGCAGTGAACTCTGGAGAACACCAAAAAAAAATCAAGAATAGCAAACTCAAATATCTGAAAATTACCCAAACACAATGAAGCACTTTGAAAAAGAGATACTGCAACTACAATATACTCAAATTAATGCAGATGGATGTAGAAAACCTCAAGAGAAGGAGAAATAGAGAAGGTCATCAAGAAACTTCCAACCAAGGAAAGCCCAGGACCAGATGGCTTCACAGGGATATTCTACCAAATACTCAGTGAGAAACCAATTCTACACAGACTATTCTGGAATAGATGAAGGAACAACACACTCCCAAAGTCATTCTGTAAAACAAACATAACCCTGATACACAAGAAAGAAAACAGACCGACTTCCTTCATGAACACATCCACAAAAATTCTCCCAAAAAAAAAAAAAATTCTGAACAATAGAATTCAATAATATATCAAAAAATAATTTACCATGATCAAGTGGGCTTCATATGATGTATAAGCTAAGATGGTTCAGCATCTGAAAAACTATCAATGTAAATCACCACATAAGACAGAATAAAGAGCTACATTATATCAATAGATGCAGAAAAGGCATTGGCAATACCTTACAACCATTTCTGATAAAAACACTCAAAATAAGAATAAAAGGAAATTTCTTCAATATAATAAAGGTCAAATAGGAGAAACTAATAGCCAGTGACACTCTCAGTGAGGAAAAACTGAAAATATTTCCTCTGAATGGGAACCAAACTAGAATCCCCTATCACCACTTTTATTCAACCTTGTGCTGGAAGTCTTAGCCAAAACCATTAGACAATAAATTAAAAAAATCAAGGGAATAAAACTGGGCACAGAAGTAAAACGGTGATTATTTGCAAGTGATATGATTTCATGTGTAGAAAACCCCAAAGACTCCATAAAAGGACTGGAAACAATTGAGGGATTTGGTAAAATAGCAATGTATAAGATTAACAAGCAGAAATCAGTTGGATTGCTTTATACCAGTAAAGAGCACATTGACAAAGATATCAAGAAAACAATGGTAGAAATCACTAAGAGAAAACAGCTTGGCACTTCCTTAAATAGCTCTCTGAACGGTAGCATAACCCAACAACCCCACACCTAGGTATGTATTCTAGATAATGCACAGTCATGGGGCCCAGGGGTGCTTAGAGAAGTCTAGTGAAAAACAAAAGATAATGAAAATTTTCCCTGAACCTTTCCAAGCCCTTTTATATGCATAATAAGACATTCATGACAATATTGTTCATAATAGTAAAAAGATGGAAACAAACTAAGCATCTATCCACAGATAAACAGGTAATCAAATTGTACATAAATACAATGAAGCAATACACAACAATAATCCAGGAAATATTTCACAACATGGACATATTTAGAAGGCATTATGAGTGAAATAAGTCTGTCATAACAGGACAAATAACGAACAAGACAACTATTATTAAAACTGAAAATACACTTAAACAGAGAAGAAACATTCTTTGTAAGATATTGGTATCCTAGATATTCTACTTTGGATCTGCTACATTCCTCATGATCTGGGATACAAAACAGTGTCATGAGTAAGGTACTTCTGTTACTGTAATCAACCTGTGCTATCTTTCTTGCCATACACATTGTTGGTTCATGTTGAGCTGCAATCCACTGAAACCAGAAATTAGAAATATGTTTGCAATCTTACTATATATTTTGATTCAAAGAGCATTTAATGAACACCTATTTACCCTTGAATATAAACTCATACAAAACAGCTATGAAGTAAGCATTAATAGCCCTATTTTACCAAAGAAGCACCCAAGGCTCAGTGTACTAAAATAACCTTCATAAGATATGGGTTCCTAGGGCAATGAGCCAGGATTTCAAAGGTCTTTGGTTTCAAATTTATTGTTTTGTATAATTATGTTATGATTTACTTTTTTCTGCTGCTCGTTAGCTGGTAAAGTATGAGATGTAGAAATGCACCAATAGATCCTGTTGTACTCAAGATGATTTTACAGCTTATAAAGCATGACGAAGTCTTTTAAGCGATTTGTTAAATACAGTAATGGCCTTATGTAAACTGGACAAAGTGATATATTAAAGGAGTCTAAGAATTTAAACAAATATTTGCCAAACTAAAATGTTAATAGATCAAAATTAGAGTTGCAGGGAGGTGAGAGAAGAAACTTTATAAAATTTTTGTTTTTGTATTTTTCAAAATTTATTAAACTCTGCTACCTAACTCTTCTCTAATATCTAATGTATACTGTGTAAAGATCATTTATTCAGCTACACATTAAAATTGACGTTTTAGAAACTTAAGATTTATTTTTTGTCTCACCTTTCAAGAATGACTTTTTTTTTTTTAACATCATGAGACTGGAAGATCAAAATACATCAAAAGCCAGGAGAAATCATTAAGTGTCCATATCCCAAGATAGACAATCTGCTAAATAATTATAAAGGACAAGAACTGAATGATTCTGTTGTCTTATTGAGACAGAAAGACACACACACCATACATGAAAGCAAATAAGACAGTATTGCTGCTAGGGTTCCAGTTCGTACTTGCACGAGTTTATTCTAAACAGAAAGTGTTTAAACATGTCTCTGCAATCAGTAAATGGTTGCAGACATGCTCTCTCAGTTATATATTTCCTTGGGGTGCCTTCAAAATAGGATACACATTGTGCCATGTATATAAATTATTTTGAGGTCGGGGCTAATAGCCTATTTTCAACAAAAACGTCCTGAATAACTGAAGCTTTTAAACAAGTTTATGGAAATGCTGCTCCCACAAAACAAGTTTTCAGGTGGCTCAAGCATTTTAAGGAAATCCAGAAAGACCTAAGAGAAGCCACTGGAGAGAAGACCATTAGCTTCGTCGAATGAAAACACTACCTGAAGTCCAAAAACTCCTGGAAGACTAGTTAGCGTTGATGTAAGATCTACTGAAGTTGGGATCCTCCTATGTTTTGACATTTTCCGTTTTAAGTGAAACATCTAAAGCATTATTCAAAAATCCGGTAGCTCTTAAAAGCTAGATGTAAGTATGTATGAAATGTGATAAGAGCCCCCAACAAAATGATTTTTAAAAAAACAACTAGGTGCAAGATCTAAGCTAACATGATTTTATGGAGTGAGTCATAATTGAAGACAAGTCTTGGATTTGCCAATTCGATTCAGAGAGCAAAGTCTAATCTAAACTGACTTTCCAGGAAATCTGTTGTCATTAAATTCAAGAGTTTAATTCAGAAGATTATGGTGACAGGTCTGAGGTATTTTCTTGATGAACATAGGATGATCATTAGGGCTTATTATGAAGAAGTTTTAAGAAAACTGAAAGCTGCATTGATGAGAGAGAGAGAAAACGCAGAATGGCTCCAATGATTTCTTTTTCTCCCCCAAAATGCATGGCCCATTCTTTGAGGTAACAAGGGCTGTCCTATGAGAACAGCATTGGAGAACTTACCCAATCTATAATATACCCCTGATATCGCCCCTTCAGACTTCCTCTGGTCCCTCAAACGGAAAAGGATATTTAAAATGAACACCACTCTCGAGGATGCCCAAACTGCTCTTTTGACGTGTAAAATGAAAAGCAATTCTTAGAAAAAAAGGATTAGAGTGATAAGAAATATCCCTTGCAGAATTGTATAGCCCTAGATTAGAAGGGAATGCCCAGAAGGTTAATATTTTGATATTCTTGTTCAGTAAAGATTTCTATGATTTTAAAGCATTATTTTTTTTACTTTGTGTGTGCTGTATATATGTTGCTTGCTTTTTTTTTTTTTTCTTTCTGCTTTTGAGTCTAACCATTAGGGTTCTCTCCATATATTCTGAAAGTTGCTTTTCTTTTAGCTGGCAAACTTGAACGCAGATATTTAAAGGCTGGAACAGTGTTTCCAGAGGACAGACGAAGGAGTAGCAGGAAACATTGCCATGCAGCTAGTTCCTTGTGAATGAAAGATAGTATAAAACCAGTTGTCTGTTCAAAACAGTACTCAATACTGAAAATTATTGTCTATACTCAAAAATTCATGGTCATTAGAGAGATCAGTATTACCCAGGAAAGTTGAGGTAAAAATCTGGGGAAGAGAATACATTGACATCAAAAGTGGGGATACATATGTCTTGAGTATTATGTGCCTTTAAGTT